CCCCAAAACCCCAAAACCCCAAAACCCCAAGAGATGCAAACTATGATTATAAAATCGTTATTTTTTAAAATATAAAAAAAGTTGATTATAAATAAAAATGCAGAGTTCTTCTTCAACTAGAAACATCAACCAATATAGAAAGCATTCTTCGCCTAAATCCTCAGATTCATCATTTGAATAGTCCTTTGATGCGAAAATTGAAAAGAGTGCTCTTCTTGCTAAGCTTGATGAGATGACTAAAGCTATAGATATATATAAAGAAATCAAAACCAAGGGATCTTATTGTAGCAGTGCTAATCTCTCCAATAATCCTATAGGAGTGTCAGTTTCCAGTAGAAATGTCAGTTCTCAATTACTCAAAATGAATAGCAGGACTACAACTTCAAACAACACATCTACTTAGGCAATCACTAAAAAGATAACTAATAACGCTTCAATGAGTTGTCTATCACCTAAAATTCAATAGAAATCTGATTCTATTCTCGAAGCCAATATAACTCCCTCTCGGAAACAACAATAAGTAGATGTGGAAATGCGTAAAATATCTCATTTGATATCTGTCTCATCTGATGAAGATTTGTATAAGAAACAAACCCAAACTACTTAGCAATTAAAAAATCAAGATATTCCTAATAGCCCTTCTTGTGGTTAAACTTAGGATAACAACGAAAATCTTTTTACAGTCACAACCATCAATAATAGTGGTTATGAAAACTATAACACTCTTGGCAATGATAACTACAATAACAATGGCACTGGAAACAGCACATTGAATTTATATCTGGATGTTAACACTTCTCCTAATTTTAATAATATGTAGAACATCATTGATACTCAAAATTCTCAGAGAAGTATTGATAATTCAAGCCATGGCAAGTAAATATAGATGTATGACTAAGACACTTAAACAAAAAACCCAGAGTTAAGGCATTAAGGACTTCAGTGTGATTTAGAATTTCATTAATAGTCTGAGTTCATTGATAAGCATAAATAGCAACTATAAACATTTGAAGAGATGCTTTCACTTCTTAAATAACAGCTAGCACTATAGTAAGAAAGTGAAAATGAATTGAGAAACTAAATTAATAAAATGGTTGAAGAGATTCAAGTATTAAGCCAAGAAAAGTACTAAGCAATTAGCAGGGAATAATAACTACTTCAGCAAACAGAATAGCTAGTGAAAATAGTAGATGATTAGACTGAGGAACTTAAATGTAAAGATATTCAAATGAATCAGCTTTAAGATTATGAACTCAAATACTTCGACCTTTAGAGGGTTTAAAGCTAACTCACACCATAAATTGAAGTTGAAAGATTGCATGACTAATTTGAAAATGAAAAAAAAGAGTTAAGAAAGCAAATTGAAGATTTCTAGGGCAAGTTGGCTTTAGAATTTAGTAAAAAGAGAAAAGCCAAATAGGAATACGAAGAATAAGTAGCTTCAATTGAACAAGAAAACACATATTATAAGGAAAAATACTTGGATATGAAGGACTTATTAGCTAAATGTACTGAATAGCTGAGAGAATTTGAAGAGTTAAATCAAATGAGAAATGATGTTATTGAGAAACTTGAGAGAGAAAATACTAATCTTAAGCAAATACTTAGAGGAGGAAACTAAAGTAGCAATCATTCTTTGCCCACAATAAATTAGAATAGTATTATGTAAACTCCTAGTGTCTCATCATTATAACCTAGTTAAAGCAGTGAACTACCAGCACCTTAGCTTCTCTTGTCAAGTAATCAATATAAAAATAACTAGTTGATTCAGTCATTTGCAGCAGGTAGTTAAATGACACCTGGAAAGGAAGACAAAAGTTTTAGCCTGAATTTGCAATAGGTAAATTGTGAGAGGTCAAGACAGATGAGCAGAGATGTAAGTAGAATATCTGAGAAAAACGATATCAGTAGAGTGACTGAAATAGAGCAGATTTGCTAAGATAATGATCTCATGGAAGTAAGAAAAAGTCTAGGGGGTACACTTTACATGAGTGAAAGGAAAGCTAGTTACTATAATCGTAGAAATGGTGGGGACAGAGGTGGTGGCTTAACTTAACAGTTAACTGAGTTATAGAGTTAGATGAGGGCTGGTCCAGCAAGCCAAAAACTAACACCTAAAGGGCAACGCAATTTGCCTAAATAAAGTACATTTTCGAATGATTAACATCAAAGAATGGAATTTTAGGGTCAAGAATATATGACTCTTGATGCACAAGATAATAATCCTTAATACCATACTGATCTAGAACTAGAATAGGCAAGATAATAAGATTACTAATAGAAAAGTTAACTATTATCTCCAGTTCAATCGATAAGTTAATATGAATAAGAATATAAGCGGAAAAGGTTTGAACAAAATTATCTTTCACCTAATGGCAGAGACACTGCAAATATCTAAGATTCTCATAAGCTTTCTTTTGGTAATATGAAGTCTCCTATTCAACTATCATAGGATCCCTATTCTCAATCAGAGGCAAAATATACTAATCAAAAGTATCAAAAGCTCAAGCATGATAAGGAAAACGATGGATGTTCATCTGCATTATTGGATTAGAGAGCACTTTAAGACATGAGTCCTTTGCTTTCCTCTAGGTCAAACTACAGAGTCTAGCACCAGTAGTAGTTTGAAAACCAAAATAAAAGCAAGCAAATTGTGACTTACCATAACAATCAATTTATTAATGGCAATTTTGAGCCTCATAGACAACTTTTAAACTACAGGGATAGTGCCCCTAAATAATAGCATCTAATTTAGTACTCTTAAGCGTAAAATTCACTATCATATAGAAACAATCAAACTATACAGCTGCACGCATACCCCTAAGATAATAGAATCTTTAGAGTATTAGCCAGTGACGATGAGCTCTAGAATAGAGACTGTTAGTCTGGTTTATTATAAGGTTACAGCAATGGAAACAACAGTCACTTAACATACTCTGAAAATGATACCTAGAGTTCTAAATCAAGGAAAAAGCCTTTTGAGTACCAAACAAATTCTATGCTTTAACAAAATGACAATTCAGTCGCTAATACAGCCATCACTCATAATAATTATCAAAGTAGTTGTACATTTGCTTAAATATAAAACGAGTCTCTAGTTTACCAAAACAATAATGAGACCCAGATTTATGGTAATAATGACACTTTTGTCACTCACATATCAGCAAATTCAAAGCAAAAGTCTCAGTAATCTAAATCAAGTATCAGAGATGAAATTAAAAAGCTTCATAACAATATCAATACACTCAGATAAAAGATGAATATACCCTCAAGAACATAAATAAATAATTATAATCATTAATCTGAGAAATAACCCCAAAGGAGTAATAGTGGCAGCAGCAGCAAAAGTACTCTCAAGGGAAGTGATGAATCTCCAACTCATTCAACTAGGAGCTTCCCTTAGAGGAATTAACAACAAAATCTAATTATCCTTGATGAATGATAAAATGAAGCATAAATAATAATCACACCTACTTTTATCTTTAATTATTCAACTTTATAAGAAGTAAAATCTTGATTGTAGGGGTTTTGGGGTTTTGGGGTTTTGGGGTTTTGGGG